GCCGTCTCCTGCTGCTAGTACGTCCGAGCAGCCAACCAGCGCAGCAAATACGAAATTGGTTACTAAAGCCAGCTCAATTTCCCTCAACGGTTCAACGTTCCTGAAGAATTTGGAACAGCAGAGTCCGGATAAGCAAACATCTAAAGTCTCGAAACCGACCAGCGCGGTCCACAGTGGTGATACCGACTCTTCAGACGACGAGGAGATAAGAAATTTACTGGGGCGAAAATACGATGATTACGGAATGGGTATCAATGCAATTTTAAAGCAAAAAGAGGACGAGAGAATTGATTTAGAAATATCGAATTTTATTAACCGTACTTTGAAAAACGCCGATCAAGGCACATCCCAACTACCGAAGAAGAAAGCTCCTACGAAAAAACCGGAATCATTAGTGGAGGATGTTCGACCTTTCCCGGGTGCCACGAAGGCGGAGCCTCTTCCGGTATCAAAAAATACCATACCGGATATATTCAAGAAGAGCGTATATACTGATCCAATCTTTGGGATACGCCTGATACATCCATTGATTTCAAGCACAATGATGCAGGAGCGAATGCAGGGTAGGAAACCAGTGTCCATGGCTCGGATAAAACATCATATCGAGCATGTAAATTTGAAGGAAGACTGGGCTATCGCCGGAGTTGTACTCAGCAAAAGTCCTCCGAAAACTACGGCTAAGGGAAGTCAGTTTTCTATCTGGAAGCTAAGCGATCTTCATGGGGAACTCAAAATGGTTAGTTTGTTCCTATTTTCACAAGCCTACAAAGATTTGTGGAAAACGGCCGAAGGGATGGTCATTTGCATATTGAACCCCGGCGTGCTGGAGCGTAACGATGATAAAAATACGGAGGCAGTTCTCTCGATTGACAAGTCTGCCAAAGTGATGATATTGGGACAGTCGAGAGACATGGGGACGTGTCGCAGTAAGAAAAAGAACGGAGAGCGGTGTACGGCCTATGTAAATCTGGACAAATGTGAACATTGCGTGTACCACGTAAAGCAAGAGTACAACAAGGCTTGCAATCGTGGTGGCCTAATTTCATCTACTGCCGGGCGAGGATTGAACGAGCTTCGGAACAAAGTGCTTGGGAAAAATGAGGTGACATGATGATACAGTTGAGACATTTCTCAACATTAACCTACCCCATTATGTCCTATTACATTTCAGGTATTCTACGGTGGCCAAAGTTTTTCGGCAGTTAAAGCTAAGAAGAATCCGAAGCAAGTTTCAAAGGATAATAATCGCATGCTGACGCTTTCGGAATACTACCAGTCTCCGCTACAAGGCAGCGGTAATGCAACTTCACAAGCAAGCTCTTCTTCGCTTCCATCTTACCGTCAACAGCCTTCTATCAAATCCGTCCCCAACAAGGGATCTGCAGCTAGGTTGGAATTCAACATAAAACAAAGAGAAAAGGATGTGGAGCGTTTGAAGCAACTTGGTTTGAGTACAGAAGATACTCTGTCTTTGACAACTTCCAGAGAGACAGCTAAAACTCCTACACAGGTATCAAAATCGACATCGAATTCAACTCCATGTCTATCAGCACCTAATGGTTTCGAAAATCGATCGTTTAGTCTTGAAACTAAAGCAGCACCTAGATTGAGTACGGGTAATTTTGTCATTGACTTGGGACAGTCTCCGAAGCAAGCACTATACTCACGTCAAAAAGCCGCCAACATTTTGAAGAAGAAACCACTGGCGAAATCCAATCCGAATTTCATTAAATACCGTGGCTCAGAAACGGGGAAAAAACGTGCATTGGACGAGATCCACGCAAACGACGAAGTAGCAAACGGAAATGCTTCGAAAAAGCAGAAGCTGGATCAAGAAGAGCAGGCTCGAAAGGATCGTTTGAAAACAATGATGGAGGCATGCTCATCGCATACCGATCTAATCAAAGCCCACGAGGATGAACAGCAGGAAAAGTACTTCAAAGACCTCGAACGCAAGGAAGCAATGGAGGAAAAAATGATGAACACCTTCAAGGTGGAGTGCAAGGCTGTGATTTGTCTCCGATGCAAGTACATTGCATTCTCGGCGGCCGATCGGTGCAAAGAGGAACGACACGAACTCAAAGTGCGAGATGCCGAGAAACGTTTCTTTAAATGTGCCGATTGTGGGAATAGGACAGTTACGTTGCATCGTTTACCTAAAACTACATGTAAGAACTGTCAGAGTTCTCGTTGGGAGCGCTGTGCAATGATGCGTGACAAAAAGGGAACGGGAGTGTCTTTATGCATTCGAGGTGACGAGGAGAAATTCTTGGGTAGCTGCGCTAACAGTGCAAATTTGAACTTGCTCGTTCCGGAAGATAACTAAACTGGTATTAAGCGGTAAGCGTCTTCATTATTTTTTTGATCATTATAAAGTTTTTTTTTGTGAGTCTCATGAATATACTGTTGCATAATGATCTGTAAATGTATTCATTGCTGGAAAAAGAAATCCTTAGCTGGCCATGGTATGCAATAAATTCGGGATTATAGGATTATACCCCGTTCAAATTACAGCCTTATATCACGTAATATAGGCTGTCTTGCAATGAGCGAGCACTCATACATAGGATTTCCAGTGAAAACTAGATGCATGAGTGCTCATTGCAAGACAGCGTATGTCACGTGATATACGCTGTAATGTGAACGGGGTATTAGTCGTTAGCGCCTAAGTAAAAGCGTGGATATCTGAAATTGACTGTATTTGGCAGCCCTTGAACGTACAGCCAAAGTCGGTGGGATTTTTCTGAGGTATAAAAAATTCGTGTCACGTCTTCCTTCGGAAGGGAAGTAAACCCGTTGGTCCCGGCCCATGTCGTTGATTGATGCGATTGGGTGGTTGGTACTCAATTGCGATGTATCAGAGACCGACACTAAAATAAAGGAATTAAAAAGAAGAAGTCCCAGAGTCTTGAAAGCCCATGAAAACTATTTTCTTTATATAAAAACTAATTAAAAAACCCAACATAGATCGATACGTCAGCAGAAAAATGTCCAACGCTTCTTCCATGGTCTTCCTCCCCGCTTGGATTTTCCGCAACGCCCGCTTAAATGTATCCACAAACCGTTCTGCCTGCCCATTAGATTGTGGGTGGAACGGTGCGGTAGTTATATGCTGGATGCCGTTGGCGCACAAAACTGTTGGAACTCGGCGCTCGTAAATTGTGGGCCGTTATCGCTGATGAGCGTCTCTGGAATCCCCAAGCGAGAAAACAGGTTGCGAAGAATACCGATTGTGGCCACTGAACTGATGCGACGAGTTGCAATCACCTCTGGGTATTTGGAGTGCGTCGATGACCAGTAAAAAATAGTTTCCATCAATCGGTCCGGCAAAATCAATATGGACGCGCTGCCACGGTCCACCAGGCGTTGGCCACAGAACAGGTGCTGCGTGTGGAGGAGATTTCGCTGCTAATGCACACTGTTTGCATGCCTTCACGAACGACGCGATGTCCTGGTCCAGGGAAGGCCAATAGATATATCCTCTAGCGAGGGCCTTCATTCTTACGATCCCTGGATGGTCTTGGTGAAGTTGCTGCATACATCGCTTGCGGTGTTGCTCAGGTATGATGAGCCGTTCCCCGAACATGATGCACGCATAGTGCTCAGCGAATCCTTTCTGGCGTAGTAACGTTGAAGCTCGGCATCGGACTTGTCGAGCTTTTCGGGCCAACCATCCCGAAGGAAGCGATAGACCTTCCGTAGCACTGGGTCAGCCTGTGTATCTTTCTCCACTGTGCTAAAACTAAGAGGAAACTCGTTAGCTAATTCGTTCACCACTGACCTGATGTCATCCTCCAAGATGATGCTCGCGATGACATAATCTTCATCTGGTTTGACATGGTTGTCAATTAGCCGTGACAAAACGTCAGCATTACCGAACTTAGCAGTAGGCACATATTCGATAGTAAAATCGTATAATAAAAGAATTAGCGCCCAACGTTGTAAACGATTAGCGGTGTATACGGGAATTCCCTTGCTTGAGCCGAAAATCCGTACCAATGGCGCATGGTCTGTCTGAAGACGGAATCTGCGCCCGAAGATCATCTTATGAAATTTCGTCACAGCGAATACTACAGCCAATCCCTCACGGTCCGGTTGACTGTACCGCTGTTCAGCCTTCGTGAGTGCGCGGGCGGCGTGCTGTACTACACTCAAAATAATCTACACGTTGAAGCTACGTGAAAAATCACGTAAGTTCTCGCTGTTTCCTCTCCTCTCAGTTTTACGTGGCTCACGTAGAATGTACGTGATGTCCCTTGAATTTCACAGGGAGTTCTTATTTAACACACCTACATAATCAATGAAATGTACGTGATTTTCACATAACATAGACTCATGTGCGTTTCACGTAAAGCTAATGAGATGTCCACATGTAAACAAAAGAGTGGTACGTACACTCAGAGCGGTGAAAATCATGGCGGCATAATAATGGGCTTTTGTTCGGTATTTTTTTAAAGAAAGTGGCAAGATGTGAGTATAAAATTATGGATTATTTGTTTCTCTTTGGCAAACACAAACTGACTGTTTCATCGTATTCAACAGAATGATGTCAAGCTGTCCAGCAGTTCCTTCCTCAAGGGAAAAAAGCATCTAGGCCCATCTCGATGCGTATCGAATTAAAAAAAAATGCTGATTTGGTGTATTTAGAAAATTTTAATAAATTAAAGGAACATTACTATTATTACTATTAATACAGTCAGTAAACATTTTATCTGCATATGAAGGAAATATTTGTATAAACAGTGTCAAAATATTGATACTAGAATCCTCCAATGAATGTCACCGACCAAATCACATAACTTATATGTGATAATCCTATAACGGTTAAGTTTCATGAAATGAGTGCCCCTACATGAGAATCACGTAGCTCTTAGGTGAAAAGTACGATGGAAAAAATCTACGTATGTTTTCACGTAGCATTAACGTGAAAATTATTCTGAGTGTACCTTCATCGAGCCATCTGGGTACCTGTGGCTGATGGTAGCGCCAAAACCGACTGATTAAGCGTCCGCAGAAACCACTATCTCGTGCCTTGGATCGTAATGCGTCAGCAAAAGGTCCGAGCTGAGAATCTCCTTAAAGCGGTCGAACGCTCGCTGACAATCCACCGTCCATCGAAATTTCACTCCTTGTTTAAGCAGCTCATCTAGCGGAAAACGTAGAGACCGGATGTTTGGCACAAACTTCCCGTAGAAATTTACAGCGCCCAAAAACGAACGCACTACGCTGACATCCGTAGGTGCAGGTAGCTGCTTGATAGTCTCAACTTTCGCTGGATCAGGCCTCAACCCATGGCGATCGAGCAGATGGCCTAGGTAACGAATTTGCTCTTTGCCAAAGGAGCACTTGCTGAGACGAATGGTGAATCCATATTCCTTGATTCTATCAAGCACGGCACGAAGATTTCTCATATGGTCTGCTGCATCGATACCACCAACTACTACGTCGTCAAGATACCCACTGGTACGAACAAGGCCAGCGAGCATCGTATCGATCACTTGCTGGAATGCTCCTGGCGCCGCCTTCACTCCAGGTGGAAGACGATTATACCTATAAAGACCTCGATGAGTGTTAATCGTAAGCATCTCGCGTGAGCCTTCATCCATTTCCATTTGCAGGAATGCATCAGTCAAATCGATCTGGCTGAAAACGGTGCAGTTAGCCAGACTAGCAAAGATATCCTGTGGTAACGGGAGTGGGTACTGATGAGGCTGTAACGAGTCATTTAACCCCGTTGAATAGTCACCACATATCCGAATTGACCCGCTTGACTTGCGGACCACCACAATTGGAGCGGCCCACTCCGCGAAGTCTACTGGCGTGATGATCTGTTCCTGCTCCAGTCGGTCTAGTTCATCATCCACAGCTTGCTGCATCGCGTAAGTGACCGGGCGTTTCGGCCCGAACACGGGAGATTTGCCTGACTTCAGTTCCAACTTGATCTTCATCTTCGTACAGATGCCCAACTTGTCGGAGAAAACCGCTGGAAACTCCGCCTTGAGTGTCTATACATAGGATGTTTTACTACCGACCTGGCAGCAAATCGCATTGAAGGGTACCGACCACAGTCCAAACACTTCCATCATATCGGACCCGATGAGTTGAAGTTGCTCTCGAAACTCGCACTGTACCCTCCGATTTCATACCGTTGATCATCATCACGCAAGAAAATTCGCCTTCGATGTTCAAAATCTTTCCAGCAGCTGTCTTTGCGACGATCGTTGGCGCACACAACGAAGGGCTTCCGATTTTGCGCCACGTTCCCATTGAAACGATGGTAATGTCAGACCCTGTGTCTAGTTGCAGGCGAACCGATGAACCGTTGATGTCCACTGGTACATACTTCCTGCACTTCGTTGCACTACAGGCGTTCACCGTCACCACCTTCGCAGCGGCGTTTCCTTTTCGTCGATCGGACCTCCTGAACTTCGCTTTCCCAGCACTATGGCAGTATCCCTCCTTATGTCCGACCGTACCACAATCACTGCATTTGTGGTTCTTAAACGAACAATCCCTGGCATAGTGATTAGCACCACAGAGCCAACAAGCTGATTTGGGCCCACTCGCGTTGCTTCTGGAATCAAAGCCGTCCTTCGAGCCCTGCTTCGACTGACTTGCTGGGAACCTTCCAGGATGCTGTCTGGATTTCAGCGCTTTCACACAGCCAGTCTGATCCTCGATCATTGCTGCGTCGTGCCTCAAGTTCAGCAAGCGATGGCACTCCTCCGACAACTGCTCCAACGTCACATCACACTTCTCTTCGATACGCGTCAAAAGCCTGGTTCGAACTTCCGCATCCCGCTCCGACTTAAGCCCGCAGACGAAAACCAGACATTTAAACTGTTCTTCCGACAGCTTCGTAAGTTCGAGCTCCACGCACGACTTATTTATCCGGCAAGCATACGTGACATAGTCCTCTCCACGCTGCTTCGAGATATGTAGGCAGCGATACCTGCGGCTGATGACTGACTCGGATGCCCCGAACAACGAGGTTAGCTTCGACACCGTCTCCTCAAATGAAAAATCTTTCGGTGTTTTAGGTAAAATAAAGCTTACATACCTCTCGTGTTCGGACATTCCTAGCTTACGAATCAGCAAGCGTACTTTCGCCTCCTTGTCAAGACGACTGGCATCCTTCTCAAACAAATTTTCGTACCGCTTGTACCAAGCAGCGAACGTCACGCTGCCATCCGGATCGAAGTGGAACTCCTTGATGTGATTCGCAAGCGACTCCAATATCGCCTCCGTATTCGGTGGCACCTGCGCCTGGATCGACGTCATAATGTTGCGCATGAGCTGCTCCTGTTGCTTCATGAAGGCCAACTGCTGCTGTTGCATAGCTTCCTGCTGTCTCTGCATAACCTCTTGCTGTTGGCGGAACATTTCCGTGATGCAATTCTCCTGCTGGAACTGGTACATCTCGGGATCGATCTGAAGTGCAGGCTGGTGAATTTGCGGTGTACGCAGGAACGGAATCTGCTGCTGCTGCTGTTGTTGCAGGCCCGGCGACATTTTCACCGACTGTTGGAGATCATGTCCGACGGAGCCATTCTGATTGGAATCCATTGTTCAACTTCCGCGTGGGCTACGTGCAAAAACGGTTTTAGCATGAAAAACACATTAAAATTATTCCGAAGTCGCCACTTTTGTATTACCGCACTTCTACAGGGTGGCCGATGTCCGCCTAAGCGGAACAGTATCGCAGAATACAATAAAACGGTGATATTGGAACCGGAATGTTTTTGTTTCCTTTGGTTTGTTTTTTCCGTCGATCTTGTTTTCCGTGCTGAGCACCAATGCTACCGACGTGCCAGGAAGGCAGCTCCCACACCTGGACCCTACCTATCGACCCATCAACTCATGAACCGGGGACCAACGGCTTTACTTCCCATCCGAAGGAAGGCGTGATCAGAGATGTTATGCCTCAGAACATCCCGGCGGCGCCGACTGGGATTGAACCCAGGCCTGTTGGGGTGAGAGGTAATCACGCTTATCACTACACCACCGGCGCCGTTGAACCGGAATGTTAAAACGCGTTGTTAACGTAATAAAAGTAAACAAGGACTGGTCCAACTTTATTTATTTACTCGTGACAACTATTTTTGTGTTTGTGTGTGTCGATGCGCATGATGACATCGCAGGGTGACAGTCGAAGCTGCCACGTACGAGCCCAGCGGCGTACAAAGTAGTAGGGGTACTTCGCTAGGTAGTTGTCTCCAACATTTGTTTTGCAAAAATTCACGATAACATGCATATCGGAATCATAAATGCCCAATTGTGTGCATTTCTTAACAGTTTTGTATAATTTTATACATAAATGTAGGGGTGGCATAAAGTTTATTTTTAGGAATATAATGTTTGATCAATTAAAGAACATATTTAATAATGTATTGTTATTAATGTTTCAATCCACCATCAATAGTGACGTCTAATAGCAGAAATAGTAAAAATAATAAATTAGGGATTCAGAAATCCTTAGCTTTATGATGCCTTATTCTTATAAAAAAAATCGCCTTTCAACACATCAACACAAAATGATTTTTTGTATTTGTTTTACGTCTTCGTTGCGAACAGAACTTTCTAGAATGCTTCATAAGAATACCATGCATAGATCCATGCTGAGTTAGCATTTAAAATGACTCAATTTTCAAAATCCCTCCCCTTGGCTAGTTTTTGCACCTTGCTGTTGGTGAGCGGGCTTAATTTCATGCTTTATAGTGGAGTGTTGGAGACGGTAGGTTTATGGCCGGCGTTGCTGGCTGATGCCGCGATAGAATGGCGCCATGGGCAGGCAATGGGGATTACTAAGCTTCCCCTCTCTGATAAACCACTGCATGAGAGAACCAATGATCTAGTCTAGCAGTGATAGTATCACACTTGTTACTCCTTTGTTTGAGAGCCGCGTTGTAGTACGCTTATGTGTAGGCACTGACGTTGGGTGTGATACTGGCGGGTTTTGCCGCAAATCAACTCTTATTTTAGTTATTTTTACGCAGATAGATTTATTTGGGTTTGCAAGGGAATTGTACTATTGAAGTATTTCAGTAAGTGCCCAACAGTAATCCTTCTATTTGCGTGACAAGCTTCCATTGTTGTTTTCATTGAAGTATTACTCAGGGAACAACGTTAAACACGTTGGGATAAGTGTTTGAACTATGGCACTGTGGTGTGCTTCTATTGTGACATATCCATATGTATTTTTGTGGTGCGACATAGTGGAAACGTGAGAGCGTAATTGGAATATTTACCCTATATAATATAAAATTTAAAATTAGCTATGAAACTTACTTCAAAGTGAAGCATTTTAGTCAATTCAAGGTGTCACCTGGGACGAACAAAAATATAATTAATATATTTCAAAGCCAGAAGTACTTGAAACACGTTAAATTTTAGTTTAAAAGCATGGGTTATGATTGTGTAGGTAGATTAGAGATTTCAGTTATTTATTAAATAAGACTTAATAATCATCAAATTAACTTCAATAAGAGAATTCAGAAAGTCAATTAACATAAGAGATAGGACGTGGGGGGTCCGCTTAGGGAGGCAACTGGCCTTTAGAGTTGTATAATAAATCTTCCTATTTAGTATATTTGTTAATTACCGAGGGGGCGACACATCTAAATCTCAATTCTAGATGCTCAAAAAATCTAGTGTGAGAGAATCAATCTTCGAAAAATCATCTTTCATTTCTCGCATCTACTTGCATCGCGCTTCATATTTTTGCAGGAAATCTTCAAAATCGACATAAATCTTCCTTCTATCTACTCAATGTACGTGCAGCTAGCCACAGCAAAACACAATCTTTTCTGCATGGTAGATAGAGTCGTCCACCTCGTTAATTACAGGCAATGTCAATAGCAGTCATATCTTCAATCAGGCGCTTACGGATGAGTGAAGTTTTAGGATAGGCGTGTTAAACATGTTGATAGGTTTGAAATAAGAATTAGGATTGTTGTGCTTTAGTTTTCGGTAAGGTATGATGTGTTAACTAAACCCTTTTGAGCCAATTTTCAAAAATCAAATTGATTGAGCGATTTATTAAAAGACACCTTCATTGAAACATTGCGTTGCGTTAGAAAACAGTATTCTTCTCTAACGAAAATTGACTAGTCATACATCTAACATAGTAGCAGCGTTTCCTTAACCTCAATCTACCTGTGCACCAACTCACAAAACATAAACAACTATTATATAAATTGCTTGCAATGGATAGATATCGAGTAAACTAGAAGATTAAATGAATGTTTTAACCGATTCGAGTATGAATATGGCATTAAATCTGGTTTTGAAAGTACCCTGTCCAAGGCGAGGGGGGCGACACATCTAAATCTCAAATTAAGATGCTCAACAAATCTCACACTAGCGAATCAATCTTTGAAAAATCTTCTTTCATTTCTCGCATCTACTTGCATCGCGCATCATCTTTTTGCAGGAAATCTTCAGAATCGTCATAAATCTTCTTTCTATCTACTCAGCGTGCGCACAGCTAGCCACAGCAAAGCACAATCTTTTCTGCATCGTAGATAGAGTCGTCCCCCTCGGTCCAAGGATGAGGGGCTTGTTGATGATTTGTCAAGTGTTGCTATGATTTTTTTTTGCAATTTGTTAAAATTGTATTTTTTCTCTAGCTTATTTATTTGAAAGGTTCAAGCAAGTTAATTTCATGGAGCCATAAATTGTAGTTTTATCATAATTTTAATATTAGCATAAAATAAAATAGTAATTTTAAAATCGCTTTTGTAATGCTAGGTAAATAGTTTGCTTTAAGTGTAAAGTTGATTTATAAGAAAGTTCTAACAGTTTTCTGTCATACCTCTAACATAGTAGCGTGATTTAGTGACAGTGTCGCATGTCCTAACAACAAATGCCTGCGACAAGTGTTCGAGGGGCCGACAGGGCTGAATACGGGTCAATACGAACAAAACTCTAACACTAAGATGACCCCGACACTAACGTTCATCCATTGCACTAATAGTACACTAATAGTAATTTGAGTGTTTTTGGTTGGTGGTGCCGCCACCTATGGCGCGCACGGTCGGTTACCTTGCGTTTGACGTCTGCACACTAGCGCCATCTGTTCAGCGTACTATCCATCACATGATACTGAACAGATGGCGGTAGTGTTGTAGTGACTATGTTTTGTGGAGATAAATATTAAATGTGTTATTTCTGTTTGTCTGTGCATCTATGTTTCTTTTTCGTTGTGTGTGTGTGTGTGTGGGGGGGGGGGGGTCAAGGGAAGGAAATGTGGATGTAGTACTTAATTAACGAATTAACGAGAGGCCACCGACTTAGCGACACCCTCATAAGTGCTACGCAGTTGGAGGGTTGGGGAGGGTATTCGGTTAGGATTAACCTCAAGTTGGCGATGGAACCAAAAGTATGTATTGTTTATTTGTTGTTAATTTAATCTCTTGATATCCGGCTATCAAAAGAACATATTCATTTTGTTTAGTTATCATGAATTTTAAGAGTCATGACGGAGAGCATGGGATTAAACCCATGGGTTTTTGCTCAGGAAACAACAACGATCCCTCCAGGGTCATCGAGCATCTCAGAACCATAAAGCTTCGCGACAATACATGACTACGTTTTCGCTTGATGTGCAAATAGTTTCCGAGGTTAATGTTCAATATAAATAGCGGCGCTGGTGGCGTAGTGGTAAGTGTGACTACCTCTCACCCCAGCAGGCCTGGGTTCAATCTCAGTCAGCGCCGCCGGGATGTTCTGAGGCATAACATCTCTGATCACGCCTTCCTTCGGATGGGAAGTAAAGCCGTTGGTCCCCGGTTCATGAGTTGATGGGTCGATAGGTAGGGTCCAGGTGTGGGAACTGCCTCCCTGGCGTCGGTAGCATTGGTGCTCAGCACGGAAAACAAGATCGACGGAAAAAACAAACCAAAGAAAAAAAAAAAAACAAAAACTTGAAAAAACTTTCAAAGGTATTATTGATTATTTTACGCAAAAACGAGCAAGTAATATTAAATCTCTTGTATCGTATTCTAATGCTAAATGACTGTAACAAAAATAATATGCTTAAATAAAATAAAATATTAATAAAATTATGTGCAAAATTTACTAGAAGATCATTGGTGAGAAGTTTTTAATCAGCCCTCCCAGCCCTGCATGAAGTAGCCGATTTCATCAAGGAAGTTCTATTAACAACCAAAAATTAATCGTTTGAGGCATACTGAAGCATTAAGAAGGTGATATGTGTCACTATAGGAAATCATCATCGTTGCAAATATAAAGAAATTAAACATAACCCTTTGCTTCAGTACCGTCAACCTCCATATCAATGGGGAGAGCTTTCTATTGTTTGGATCAAGTACAACTAATACTAATCTACCTTTATGTATGCTTTGCTCCATTTTAACCCATTAACTTTATGAATGGCGAATCTTATGGAGCTGGAACTCAAAGAAATAACGTGATTTCAATGAACTGGAGAAGGAATAGAATTACTTCGAACAGGATATCAAACAAATTCAGGACCAGTCCATTAGAGACCAGAAATCAACAAGACACCTGTGAGTTATATACTCGAAGAGGTATTTGAAAAATAA